TTTTTATTTGTTTTATTTTATTTCAGTTTTTATTAGAGTTATTGACGACTAGCCTTAATGAACAATCCGAGACCCTCATCTCCTCCTCCCCAACCACCCCCCCTTCCTCCTCTCCCACCACCGCCCCTTCCTCCTCTCCAGCCTCTGCCACCGCGATACCAAAATCCTCTCCTTTTCGTCTTCTTGGATTTCTTCTGCTCCGCATTTTGGTTATGCAGGAGCTCCTCGATCCTCAAAAGAGCACCAAGGAGCTCCGCGTGGCCAGCAGGAGGAGCGGGTACTGTTGCAGCAGTGTGGGGCACTGCTGCACAATCCTGAGCCGCTGGTGGAGGATCCTGGGCTGCTGGAGCTGGATCCTGTGCCACCGGTGCTGCATCCTGGGCCACTGGTACTGGATGCTGGGCCAGTGGAGCATGATCTTGACCCAGTGGTCCAGAATCCTGAACAACTTGTTGGGGAAACGGCCTTGGGGGGGTACTAGAAGGTACTAATACCATCGGCAATCCCTGAAAAAGAGAACGTATTAATGAAAAATTAATTTCGTCATTTTTTTGATAAATGAATTAAGCATTAAATAAATCGAAATATAATTAACTTACTGGATTCGTTGCTCGTCGCACGAATGCCCGCCACAGCTCGGCGATGATGGGATCATTTAAATCCGGATTTTTGTCTGAAAAAAACAAGGTTATAAAATATATATCGGGACATATTAATAATATTAAAATAAAACCCAGATAAACGATTTGAAAAAAAAAACATTGAAGATTTTAATAATTACTACAAATGTTCATTGAACAATGGTCTTCTTTAAAACACAGCAAAATTATGAAATTTTACAATCATCAAATAATTAACGTAATGCTTACCTGCCATGTTTACCAAAGAGAGGGATGTTAGGGGCGAGGGGGAGCAAAACCTACCGCTTTAGACATTGCCCTCCTACAAACGATTTACTGAGAAGCACAGTTCTGTGGGTTGGAGTGACCCCACCGGCATCATAGTACCTCACCCGAAGAGAGAGAGGGCGCCACACGTGCCTGCCCGTTAGCTGACTAAACAATTATCTCTGCGTATTTAGCCGAAAATGTGCAATGATTAAGATAATAATAATAATAATAATAAGAATAATAATAATAATAACAATTCCTCAGTAACTGTAATAGTAATGAGACCTAATTACCGAAATGGCGCAAGTTACAACCTTTCATTTCATTCGAAAATCGGACCTTTTCATGCAGTTTTTTCGCTGTAATTAGTATTCCCGTGAAACCTAATTATTTCGTCAAAATCTCGGAAATTCTGGGGTTTGTGGGGGGAACAATTGCCGTGAATTGTAGATAAATGGGAGTGAGATTTTCTGCGTTATGAAATTGGTATTCACTGAAATTATAAAATTTTATGGAGTCACTTAAATTTTTTACCACCATGTGACCCTTAACCAATTCCAATTAACCCTTAACCAAATCCAATTAACCCTTAACCAAATCCACTTAACCCTTAACCAGATCCAATTAACCCTTAACCAAATTCAAAATTTGCAAATTCAAAATTTGCAAATTCAAAATTTCAGTGAATACCTCTTCGACTTTCATGTTCTCCTGATACTTTTTGATTTAGGGTTAATTGGATTTGGTTAAGGGTTACTTGGATTTGTTTAAGGGTTAATTGGAATTGGTTAAGGGTCACATGGTGGTAAAAAATTTAAGTGACTCCATAAAATGTTATAATTTCAGTGAATAGCAATTTCATAACGCAGAAAATCACATTCACCCCGTTGACTGGTCCCTCTGATAGCGGGACTGCTACTGAGGCAGTTACCGAGTCGGCTGACGGGTAGACACCCCCATTGCGTATGGCGTCCTCCCTCTCTTGGGGTGCAGAGTACTACGATGCCGCTGGGGTCAGTAAAACCCCCAAAACTGAGTCTCTACTTTAGTCCATCCCCTTTGCACCCCACCATCTACTACACAACAATCAACATAAATTAATTATTTATGGCAGTTTTATTCTTCCCCAAATGATTTGGTCGTCAGAAATCGATTCCCCAAATCATTTAGAAGCTATTCAGCCATTTTTTAATTTAAAGCAAGCAGGTGACAGCAATTATATGACTGTAGATGAGTTATTGAAATGTATGGGTATATTTTGTTTGCCATCAATAAATTGATGGCGAGCTTCCGAATGGTTTTTACAAATTTTGTTTTCCTATTAATTTATATCTATCAAGAATGTATATAGATCCAATTCGAAAAATGAACGAAAACATCTAATTATTTGATTAAAAAATCATTATTTGTTCATTTCTATAATTTTTTCCTATGTTATTCGCAGGCATTCATTTCATTTTTATCTTAATTTGTAACTTCATTCTGATGTGATTCATTCATTCTGATCTGATGAATTCGGTCAAGTCAATTTTGAGATATTCCACATAATCATTTTA